TTGCTAAGGATTAAAAAGTAACGGACGTGAGGATTTGTCATTTTCTATCTTTTGTGTGTGTTTAATATATACCACAAATGATATAAGGAAAATTTTATAAATTTTATACTAGTAATTTGTAGTTGTGTGTATATATTCGCTTTCAAAATTATTGTTTTAATTTTCGAGGCGTTTTGAATGATGTTGCTTAGTAATTTGTCTGATACTAATTACTTTTTCACAGGTTTATTAATTCTGATATAATTGCACCTCACCTACTTTAGTTTTTAAGCTTACGAACAGTCGAATTTAGTCACATCTTTTTGCTTTCCAACGTAATCAATTTAAAAAAATCAAAATCAAAATCTCTCTAGTCTTATTTTACATGAAAACATCTAGCACATATATAATGTATGCCGTGTTTCCTCTGTGTGTAATCGATATATATATATCAAATTCAATCAAATAATATAAACAATGTTTAGGTGAAGAATTATAAACGTGTACCATCTACAAAAATCAATGGCATTTAAAACGTCTGATTTTTTTTTTTAAATGTTGTCACTGTTGAGTATTGACATGCATTGGTAAGCGAAAGTTATAAAGTAGTACTTATTATTAGCGCAGACGAAGATAGGAGTCACACCCTAAAACTCATTGGGTCAATCGAAGTCTGACATTTTATTTTACCCTAAGTAACAATTTAAAATACAATTAAAAGATAAAAATATCAAAATATTTAAAGTTATGGGCCTTATGGTTCGGAGAAGTTGACGTGCGATTAGGGATTTTTTATGGTTCTGCTCATATGTAACGTCACGTCTCTGCCTGTAGATTCGGTTCCACGTTTCATACTCCCAAATTTTTATTTTAGGCTAATATTTATTCCTTTATTCTATAAAACATTGTTCAAACTTCAAACAAATGAAATGTTTAGATCATTATGGTATGACATTGAGAATCTTTGGTGTTAAACCGAAAAAAGATCACAAAGAAATCCATTAGTACTATCACCTTATAAGCATTTGTAAAAGTAACATGAATCATTTAACCACATTGTTGTAAAGAATGCTCAAGAACACAAATATAGTTGTTAAGCCTGAGTCATGGTCTCTTTGAATGTCTTGACTTGAGAGTGTTCTTCATCATTTTGCTTAGAAGCTAGGACTGTTTGTGTTGTGCCTTTGGTTTCATTAACCTTCTTATGGACAAGAACTTGGTCTGTGTTATGTCCATGGCTGCCATAATTTAGGTCAGGATAGTTTCTATGGTTTAAGGAATGTAACCAAAGAGCCACTGATCCGTATTTTCGCTCAGCAGAGCCGATATGAGAATATATATACTTCAGTTTGAATGCTTCAGCTTCTTCTTTGTATGCTTCCATAGACACTTCCTCATGACTTTCTTCAAACTTTTCGTTATAAGATGTGAAGAAGCACTCGTCGAGGTAGAGTCCAACTTCTGGTGCCATTGGTACAGTTATATTCACATCCCTGGTTACATAATTTCCAAAACTTAATATCAAAAGTTCAAAACAAACACAACTATAGACACATTGCAAAGCATAAAATCGAAGAAAGCGGAAGCTTACTTGCTGAAAGCAGTCTGGATAAGTGATTCAGGAGCACAATTTCTCATGATTGCAACTGCAAGACCCATCATTTTTCGAATCTGATGAAGCATGAAGCTTTTGCCTAAGACTTCACACTTGATAAACTCAATCCCATCAAGATTAATCCCAGTGTTTGCAGTGAAGGAGATGATGTTACGATTCGCAGCCGGATCATCTGCTTTCATTCTTGTAGTGAAGTTATGGAAATTATATGACCCAACATAGTAACTCAGTATTCTATTGAACCTCTCCTTTAACTTCTCATCGTAACAAAACTTGTTCTTGGCCTCAGTCGTTTCATTGATCTTTTCTTCCGATTCTTTCAATGAATTCGTGTTCAATTTACAACCATCTTCTAGTAATCTAGCTACTTCAACATCTACTGAGCTCAAAGCTTCTCGCTTGATCTCAGTTCTTAATGCATTAGAGTTGTTCGACACAATGTCTGACTGAAAATCCAATGGTTTTGTACCAAAATTCATGCCTTTGAAATTGCCTACAAGACCAGGAATCTTACGACCTCTCTCTGAGCACTCGAAACACTTTACATATTCCTCTCCTGATCCTAAACTAGCCATTACTGCTTCTCTATCACGATGCGAGATTGGATCAAGAGCAAACACAGGAATCAGATACACATACCTCCTTCGATCGCAGAACTTCTTGGAGCTAAACGATCGAGCAACGCGCTTGTACCCAAAAACCCGAATCTGATCAGGGAGTTTTGAATTGAGCCGATCAACGAATCCAGGCGGGTCAACGTAGAATCGACCGGAAACTACTTGTCCCACAGCACTCACTCCTTTATCGGTCCTTGCAGATCGTGCAAAATCGTATACTTTTGGCTTGCCTCGTTCGGCTTCTGGTACAGCTCCGGCATGGAACAGAGCTTCTTCGAGCTCGCCTTCAATGGTTTTTGCGCCGGGATTCTTTTGCATCCCTTGGTATCCAACACCGCAAAACGCGAAGAATATCGCAACTTTTCTGCGTTTGTATTTCGGTATCATAGTCTCTGTGCCGTCTCCGCCGCAGGACAAGTCTGTCTCGTCGTCGGAGCTGGTGGTCGACATTTTGAGCTTCGTCTCTTGTCAGGTTCTCGATCAGGAACTTCGAACTAGAGCAATGTATCGATTTCAAGCTCTTGAATCTACATTTTCAGTGACAAGAACCCATCGAATTGACCCAATTTCCAGATTTCCTCTGCTACTACGGTAATGGTTACTACTCCAATTCAATACAAAAGTCAAAACCCTAGACGATGACTGAGTTCAAACTCTAGAAGTTCCTTTTTAACTGGGCCTCTAAGATATGGGCTTTTTATCTTAAGCCCAAAAGCTACTCCAAATCTTAAATCAAATTGGGAAAAAGTCAACGATATGCATTGCCAAGATACACAAACATAAGTTTGCAAAATTTGTCATTTGGGAAGGAAAGTCAGAAAGATCAAATCTTTATGTATAAAGGTCCGAATGGTAATATTAAATTGAGCGGTGCGGGTAAAAAAATTGTGCGGTGCGGTAAGATACATGTGCGGTTCGAACAAAAAAATATATTATGCAGAACAAAAAAATATTATGCGAAATAAAATCGATTTGTGTAAAAAAGCGGAACGGAATAATATTTGATTGGTGAAAAAAATAATATAAGTTGCAAAATAATTATTTTAAATAACCGAATTTTTTATTTTTTAAATATATCTACCTCAAACCCTTCATAAAGAGTAATTAACATGTATATTAGGTTTGTTACCTATAATTGATTGTTTAGCATTGGCTAAAATATATTTAGGTATCTAACATTAAACACACTTAAAATTCAAATTCTGCCCCGAATTTTGTTTTTTTATCAAATATGGTTCTGCGTTTTTGGGAGGAGCGATTATTTATGAGATGACATCAAGTGAAGAATTTTAGAGATTTTTTTTCTTTATTTTTACCTTAATTATAAGAGAAATTAAGTTGTATATAAGTTTATCTTAATTATAATTATAAAGGCAATTTCGTCATATTTTTATTTATCTCTGCTAGTTATATAATTATATTTTTGGTTATGTTATTTTCTTATTTATACGTATGAAAAGTAATATTAAACTAATTAACTTATTCATAAATGTAATAACTATTTTTTCAGATTTTTAAAAGTTAATTTTTTATATAAATAATAAAGAACCGCACGTAACCGCACCTAATTGGAGGTGGTATGCATATCAAGTGCGGGATAGAAAACTAAGGGAAATTTTTTTTTTATTAAATGTTTCCATGTAAGTGCGTATTTGATCAAAATACGTCTTGTACTCACGTAATAATGTGATTGGAAACATTTATAATTTATCCCACTTTATGGCTTGATCCGCCCTGCACTGTTGTTCGCATTCAAGGCCTCATGAGACTTTGAAATCTTCTTCAGGTAATACAATCTTACTTCTTAAGCATAATTTGTTTCGATAGATTATCTCATTTTTAAATTAAATTAAACATATGCGGGCCATAATTCTAGTACAATCTTCTTATTTCTTAAGTAAACAATCTTATTTCTTAAGTTATCTACTTATGTGGGACAGTAGGAGTCTAACGCGTCTTAGATTTTTCTTGTCGGAGGCAGAGAAAACTCAAAACGTCGACAGTTTTATAAAGCTTCGTTTCTCGATTGAGTCCAAAAACTCTAAAATTCTCTCTCTTCCTCGGCGAGATTCTCCACTCAAGTTTTCTTTTCAACTTTAGTCAAGAAGGTATTGTATTCTATAATTGGCTCATCTCTTGATAGTACTGTGGAATCGAATCGTTACTTTTGGTTTCATGGGTCTACTTCCAATTTGCACCTTCTTCTTTGTAACCTTTATTGAAAAAGTTCGTTGTGTGTGGCTGAAAATTGGTTTGACATTTTGATTCTGATTCGTTTTGGAGTCATAAATTGTTCAATCAGTTCACGTTCCCTCTCTCCATATATGCAGGACTCTTTGTTAAGGGATTTGATAGAACATAGCACGAAGTCACAATAGCTTCTTCTCTTCTGTGGTATTTGTCTTATCCTGATGCAATTGTTGTTGTCTACCAAATTTGAATTTTGGTCCAAAATTTTCTGCCTCAGAATTTTACACATAATCACACTCTTTGTTTTGTCTCTCAGAAATTGTATGTATCATTGTGGATGCAGGTAATTGTCAAATTCGACCAGTGTTTTGAGGTTTTCTTTTTGATTGAGATCCTTCTCTCAACATGGGCTACTATAACAATGCAAGTGCCTTTTGCCTTTCTTGTTCTTGCTGTAATACAGAAATTGTTGTTCCGTTTTGCTTTGTTCTAAAGCATGATACTATTGCAGGTCTTTGATGGATGCAATGACCAAACTGATATTGGTACTATGTTCATAACCGTAATCACAAACGATTTTAAATACAGGATTAAGCCTTGTTCATGAGTTTTTCAGTTTCATTGTTCTAAATTTGCTAGTATTAAAGTATATTTCTCCTCTATATCAGGTGGAGTTATACGCGATGGAAGGGAAGTCGTTCTCCAGGTAAGATCATCATCTTCTTAGGCTGTTCTGATAGTACGGTTCTTGAGGATTTTATTTTGTAATCTAACACTTGTATTGTTCAAGTCTTATAGTCTATAGAGCCTAAGAGAAATTACATTTATATCTCAGGCTTATAACTGGGAATCTCATAAGCATGATTGGTGGAGAAACTTGGATGGAAAAGTTGCCGACATTGCAAAATCGGGATTTACTTCTGCGTGGTTGCCACCACCATCTCAGTCTCTTGCACCAGAAGGTTAGAGGAAATTTGATATTGAGACAAATGAGCTTTTGTACATTTGGTTTTTAAACGAATAGCCATTACTAAACGGTTATTGTAATTGCAGGTTACCTTCCGCAGGACCTTTATTCACTAAACTCGGCATATGGCTCTGAACATCTATTGAAATCCTTGATTCGTAAGATGAAGCAGTACAAAGTTAGAGCTATGGCTGATATAGTCATCAATCATCGTGTTGGGACAACGAGAGGACATGGTGGAATGTATAACCGGTATGATGGAATTTCATTACCGTGGGATGAACACGCTGTGACTTGTTGTACCGGAGGACTGGTGAGTGATGATCAATTACATGTTTGACATATCATTGTATGTTCTGAAAGCTAAAAAAAGGTTTTCTACTAATAGGGTAACCGAAGCACCGGGGATAATTTCAACGGAGTTCCAAATGTTGATCACACTCAACATTTTGTTAGGAAAGATATAATTGGATGGCTTCGTTGGCTGCGCAACACCGTCGGGTTTCAGGATTTCCGTTTTGACTTTGCTAGGGGGTATGGTTTCGATTAGCTGATTTGTTTGTTTGTTGTTAGAGTTCTTAAATCTGTGAAATTTTAATGCACCTGTCGCAGTTATTCAGCTCAATATGTGAAGGAATACATAGGAGCAGCGAAACCGTTATTCTCAGTTGGAGAATGTTGGGATTCTTGCAACTACAATGGTCATGGCCTAGAGTATAATCAAGGTTTCGCACCGCTTCTACTTCTTCGTATACCGTTTGAAATGTTTTGACAAGTGATTTCAGTCATACAGCTCTGGTTTTGAGATAGGTTTTAGTTGAAATTGTAACACTCTATTCTTTTTTTCTTTTTATAGATAGCCATAGACAGCGTATAATCAATTGGATCGATGCAACGGGACAGCTTTCAGCTGCATTTGACTTCACAACTAAAGGAATTCTGCAGGTACATAGTTTCTTTCAGCACTCTCTCTCTCTCTCTATATATGATTCATAGTGTTTTGCTTACATATTTGTTGCCATTGTATCGAATCTCAAATGCTCGAATCATTTGATGATACTATAGGAAGCTGTAAAGGGTCAGTATTGGCGTTTATGCGATGCTCAAGGAAAGCCACCGGGCGTAATGGGATGGTGGCCTTCAAGAGCTGTAACATTCCTTGATAATCATGACACTGGCTCTACTCAGGTTACCTAAAAATTTCTTTTGTTGATCATTTCCTCCGGAAAAAACAAAACAGAGTTCTTATATGTTTTGCTTACTTTTTAATGGATGCTTTGTTGCTCTCATAGGCTCATTGGCCATTCCCTTCACACCACATTATGGAGGTAAAGAAGCTCTTCGGGGAAAAAACCCAATCCATTTCGTTGCATTTTAAGTTTCTCCTTAATCAGTGAAGATGGGTTTTGTGTCTTTGTAGGGCTATGCATATATACTTACACATCCCGGGATCCCCTCTGTGTTCTACGATCACTTCTACGATTGGGGAAGCTCGATTCATGACCAGATTGTCAAATTGGTATATTGTTTCGCTTCAGTCCCTCTAGTTAGCCCTGCAAATCACTTCAAACTTGTCTAAACCGTCCTCTGTTTTGTTTATTATTCGTTGACAGATTGACATTAGGAGGCGACAAGATATCCACAGTAGGTCAACGATCCGCGTGTTGGAAGCACAGTCTAACTTATACGCAGCCATTGTTGGTGAGAAACTGTGCATGAAGCTCGGAGACGGTTCTTGGTGCCCTTCTGGTAGAGAATGGACTCTAGCAACAAGTGGTCATCGCTATGCCGTATGGCACAAGTAATCTGTTTGTGTGTTGTCCAGTATACTATTAGACTGCTTAATCAAACAATTCCTTTTGATCTCAAAGGTTATGGTCTTCAAAGTCCAGAGGTATACCGGTTTTTAGTTTTTACTGTAATAATGTCATAATACTTACGTCTTTATGACGTAAGACAAGTTATATCATGCGTGCGTATAATTTATAAAGCTAGCATTTTGTGTTTTTTCTTTTTTTTTGTTGTGAACAAATTATAAGAAAAAAATTGGATGACTAGTGAGAAAGGGTTCGTTGCTTTCCGATGAGAAGTATCCATATTGGAAGATAAAAGGGGATAAAACCATATAAGAATTTAAAATAATTTGTCCACATGAATATGGAAATTTCTAGGGTTTGTTTTGTAGGATGTATAAATTACTTGATTACCTAAAAAGTATTAATTTATTTTAAGCGTGGTCTTTCAAAATGCTACTCAAAACCATAGTGTGTATATTTTTTCCCAAGGGTATACA